GGCCACAAACCCATGACCTTTTATGTGGGTCCAGTTGCATTACTGCTGAGTCACCATATGGCCCCCTTTCCATTCTTTTTATATCTTCCACTTCCTTCTTTGTCTAGTTCAGGTCTTCCTCTAAATCCATGAACATATTTATATTTTTTATAATAACTTTTTAAAATTCATGTCTGCTAATTCTATCATTTTGTCATTTCTGAGTCTATTTCTATTGACTAATTGTCCTCACGTTACAGGCTACCTTTTCTTGACTCTCAACATGTCTTGTACTTGTTAAAATAGGATGCTAACACTGTGAATGCTATGTTGTTGAGTGTTGGACTTTGTTGTCTTCTTTTAAAGATGGTTGAATTTTATTTTGACAGTAGATTAAACTTCTTACACCTCAGGTTGATCTTTTCAAGGCTTTTAAAAAAAGAAATAGGTCTGTTTAAAATTTCTTAGTGAAGTATAACCTATACACATAAAGGTACACAAATCATTAGTGTTCAGCTTGATGAAACTTATGTTTCTCAAGGCTTGGTTTTAAGCTTTGTTAGATCAAGGCTAAAATAACCTTCACACTAGAGCTAATGAGGCTTACTACCGACTCATGGCATCCTCAGGTTTCTAATGATTGCCATTAGTGATCAACAGTCTCTTTACTCTAGCTAGTCAGAACTTGAATAACTTAAATCAGTGTAAGCTCTGAGGCCTGATCATCTTATAGGTCCCTGTCAAGAGTTTTATCCGATACATGGAAAGGTTAGTCAGTTCAGATTTTACCAGATTTTTTGCCAAAAGTAACCAAACCCCTCCTATCTGGAACTCTCACCCATTTTCCCCTCTAATTCAAATGTCTACCCTTTCAATTCAGCAAGTTTGTTGTGCTTTGCAGGGGATCCCCTCTTGGCACCAGAGTCAGAGTAATGCCTCAAGGCAGACAGCAAGGAGGATGGCAGGCCTTACCTCTCTTGGTTCCTTTCATTCGGGCATCATAGTCCTATACTGCCTGCTGTCCAATGTGTGAAAACAGTTGTTTTCATATTTGTCTAGAGTTTTAATTCTTAATGGTAGCAGGATTAACCCAGTTCCAATTATTCCATCATGGCTCAAAGCAGAACCAAGGCCTCTTTTAATAAAATTTCCAGCATGGATGCCATGTTTTGCAAGATTTCATCTACCAAAATAACCCAATCCATATGTGCCTCCCATCCTTTCTCTATCTATTCAGCGACTGCTAGATCCTTGGGAAACAAAGATGAATAAAACCTGATTCCTATCCTCAAAGAACTCACGATGAAAAGGGAAAACCAAAAATGTGTAGTAATCAGTTTAATTATACAAGCAACACAAGGACTGACAGGACATAGAGAAAGATATGGTCGAATGTAGTTGGAGAGGACAGGGAAGGTTTTTAAAGCATAATGTTTGGAGTAAGTATCGAAGAATGAATAAGAGATTAACAGATGGGGTAGGACATTTGGGACAAAAGAAACCCTGTATGCACAGTATGAAGTTATGAAACAACATGTAAGTTTGAGAGAACTACTAACACTTCCAAAAACCTGTAATACAGAGCTTGAGGCAGGGAGGGGAGAGAGCTAAAGATAAGTAAAACAAAACGACACAAAACAAAACAAAATCTCGTTGGAGAATTATATCATGAAGGGGGGCCTTGAATGCCATGCTAATCATCATTTTCATCCATAATTCATCCTCATCAACTCCTATCCATTGTGCTCAGAGGATATATGTTTTAAATATATTATACACATTACATTTAATTCTCACAACAACCTTATGAGGAAGCAAGGACTCAGAAAACTGAAGTAATTTTGCCCAAGACCACAGGCTGGTAGGTGAGGAGCCCAAGATTTAAAGATAGGCCTGTTTGATTCCAAAGCCAACAAGGAGAGTCTACAGGCAATGGGAATCTACAGGCAATGGGAAGTTATGGAAGGATGTTTTCATTTTTAATAAAAAAACAAAACAAAACATGATGTTCACAGAACATTTTTAAGTTGGATGGAAATATAATTTGTGTTTTTATGGAGGTAACTCTGGTGCATGAGGAAGGAGGGTTGAAGAGAAGAGGCTGAAGGTGGATGAACTGGCATGGAGGCTGCTGGTGACAGCGCAGGAGAGAAATAAGAGCTTGTAAAAAGTTCAGGTGGTGTTTAGGAGGGATGGAGAAGAGGATGTGGACTGGCAAGATGTTTAAGAAGCAGAGCCTGTCAGACGTAGTTAACTAGAATGTTTGACAAAGGGGAGACTAAGGTCAACTGCGGATGTGTTGATATACCGAAGTATCAGGTCCTATGCCAAATGGAGGACACAAAGTTGAGTGGGACTGATTTCCTCTTGAGAACTTGACATGCACATAGCATCGCAGATTCCAATCTATGAACTCCACTGAAGTATAAGAAGTACCATATGTACCACATTGCCTCCCCATTACTTGATTCAGAATCTTCAATGACTCTAGAGTCCCATGTTGGAAACCACTGCTGTAGAACATTAACCCTGATACCAACCGGTTTGCAGATAGGAGTCCCATTTGTGCAGGCTAAATCTTGGACATAGAGGGTACTGTCTCTCAACTTTGCTGTAATTATCAGCTATAATTTTATGAACACAGATACCATATACTGAACACTGACAACATGTGAGCACTGTGCCCAGCATTTGATGGACATTGACACTATTACTTGCCACAATAATCCTTGGAGTAGAATGGGTGTTTCTCTTTGAAAGTGGGAAACTATGGCTCAGAAAGGGAAAATAATTTGCCTAAGTTATACTGTTCCCTGAGGCCACCTTATTTATCATGTAAAAGGCATCTTGGAATTTGCCATCTTTAAGATATAGTCATTATCCTCTCCCAAATTGTGTTACTTTCCCCCCAGTTTTTCTGTGCCTGAGTCCTATTGCCCTGTGGTCCCTCTCCTGCTACATACTGTATCACAGCTCGTTTACGTGTCTGCTTCCTCTCCTGGAATATGGTCTTTGAAGATCTACCTCCACTCTGTTGCTCAGTGTCAGCACAGAGATGGGGCAGAGCAGATGGAAGTGGACGGGCCAGCCTCTGGTTTTCAAGCTGCCCTTCAGTCACTGTGCTGTGCTAGTGGTCTTGGCCATCTCTTGCACCTGGTCTATCTCAGGTTCACGTCCACATTCATTCAGCAGTTACAAGGTCCATGTATCAAGTACCCACAGCTTAAAGAGGCCTTTGTCTACTGAAAGAAAATAGGGATGGAAGTCTCAGAATCTGTGGACCAAAAACCTCAGATGATGGCCAGCAGGACCTAAGGTACTGACTACGCACTTGACCACTGATGCGACTACAGCAACCCTCACTCTTGTATGGCACTTGAATTTTGTCTGTCTGTTTTGTTTTTGGTATAGGGCAAGTGTGCACCAGAGAGAGAGAGGGAAAGTGAGAAATAGCACCTCAGTGGAGTGGGGACAGCCATGTCACAGTCCCTTCTCCTCCATTCTCCTCTTGGATTTTGGGCACACATGTACAAGCTCCTGGCATGATTTTCAAGTCACCGGGCCCAGGACTTGAACCATGTCAACCACATGGGAGTCCAACACCTTACACCATGCCACATGCTAGCCCTGTACTTTAATTTTTCTTAAATTTGTCCATTCTTGCTGCCTCCAAGAAAAGCAATGGGCAGAGAGTGGAAACAGAACAGGCTCTGGGGTCACCCAGGCTGAGACTCTGATCTCAGCTCTGCCTTTTTCAGCTGCAGGATTTGTGGCAGGGCACTTGTCCCCTGAGGTTCTTTTCTCCCTGGAAACGGGAGAACACTTGTTCCACATGTTCTACGTTTAGAACAAGATCCCTCTGATACACCAGAGGTACCAGGTCCTGTGGCTTTCCGCCCGTGAAGCTGAGTTCCCATGCTGGCTCCGTCTCTTTCTAGCCCTGCAGGGAACGTGGGAGTAAGGAAAATACCTTTTCAGAGTGGTGCGAGGAAGAGATGAGAGGTCAAGGCCAAGTGCTCAGCCAAGTGCCCAGAGCACATCAAGTGAATGAATGATAGCCACCGTTTAGTCACGTTACAAAAGAAACATCTTTACGTACACAAATGACTCCCTAAATTCTCATGGAGAGGCATGAATTAGAGAAACTTGAACTCTTGTTGCAAGCCATTCTTCAAACCTCCTCAGAACAGCTAAGAACTACAGTTTGCTTTAGTTCTTCCAGAAACCTTGGTCTAAGTACAGGCGACACACTGCCCTCCCAGGACAAAAGCCTGTCCCGTCTCAGCACCATAGGGCCAGGAATCGCCTCCCTTTACTCCAGAAGTCAGACTACTTTCTACATCTTCTAGCGGGCAAAGCAATGGAGGCCAAGCCAGAAACAGCAAAGCCATCCTCACCTGTGCAACCTAGTCCTCATTCCTATGGACAGTGATGAGAATGAGTCTGCTTCACACAGTCGCCAGGGGCAGAATAGCCATGGGCTGGTGGTCAGATGCTCATGTGGCCAGTGTGGCAGCCATCACTCTGCTCAGTAGAACCCTTGTTCAGCCTAGAGCCAAGGCAACAGAGATGTGCCACACTCAGAGCACTGGCAACAGATATGCTTGGGCTTGATAACAGTTCAGGGAAGATGCAGGTTTGAAGCACCCCAAACTGCTCTCACTGAAAACCCTCCCACCCGCCTTCTGCGGTGGTACTCAGGGGAAGCTGTCCTGTTCCTCAGAGACGGCAATGTGCTGGGGAGGGGTGGCAAGACCCCCAGGCTCCCACAGAAAAAGGAGCTGTCTAGACCCACACTGCTTCAGTCTTTCAGATGGAAGTTTTAAGAGTGCAGCAAGACTCAGAAATAAACCACTTTCCAACGCTGCAGAGACCAAGGTTTCTGGAAGAACTAAAGCAAACTGTAGTTCTTAGGCCACAGGAAATCCATGTGGTCTCCTCTGCTATCCCACCCCGACATTCACATTCAGTTCCTTCATGTGAGCTCATGGGAGTTAGCAGCGCAAGGGCGCATTACCCACCACGTCGTTTGGGAGGCTCTGGAGGTCATCGAAGGGGGTTTCCAGGGTGTTGGTGTCCACATTCAGGATCACAACATCATCCAGGGCCATGTTTCTGACTTTCTGCAAGTAAAAAAGTCCAGAAGACAAGTCACTGAAGAACCATCAAGATACAAATATTTCCTCCGGCCATCTCCAGAGAAGGGGAGAAGGGCAGTGACATGTGACTAAGGATCTCTCAGTCGTGGCCCAATGCTGGGTGCTTCACATTTGTTAGCTCATTTAACTCATGAAGACTCTGTGACCGCGCGTGGTCTTGCCACGTCAGGAGTAAAGGAGCCTCCTGGAGGCTCAGTAACATGCCCCAGATCACACGGCTGGCGAGTAAGAGAGCTATACCCCATTCATTTCTTACTGCAGTTTCTAATTCCCTTCCTTCCTTGCCTCCTCTCCCTCTCTCTCTCCTCTGGGGCTCTGGCCCCTGGAACTCTGCCACATGACACCCACATTCAATCCACCCTCTTCCGTTTACCAAGGGCTACTTGCCCCTCACTCTTTCAGATCTTGTCATTCTCGGGTATGGACCACAGTGTGCAAGCTGGTGTCATTCTGGGTGTGGAATACGTATACCAGCTTTTGTCAACAAATTAGTGTTTCCTTTAAACACCATGTAAGGTCATGTTCATTTTGGTTCCGTCTTCCACAGAGATCCAACTGGTAATGCTAGAGGCTCTGGTCATAAGCCATTATTCTACTGGGACAGTAAGAGAAAGCATGAGGGACACTCGCCGACTAGGTGCTCATGCTTAGTGAGGGGAGGAAGGGATGAGGGAGATGTCAGGAATAAGAGACTCCTCTCCTAATCTGGCGACTACCCACAGTTTGAGTTAGCACACGTCTGTGTGTAGCCCGAGTTTTAAACGTTTAATCGTGCTATGTATCCACCACTAGAGTCCATCTTCATTTTCTCCCTACCTACTCACTGCTCCCAATCCCCAATCCTCATTCCCCAGCATATATCAAGCTCTTTCCTTGCCAGTCTTTAACTTCACTTTATCTTACTGTTTAAGCTCCCTTTGCTCCCTTCATCCACACTGGGATGTTTGTGGAAGGGAAAAAGTGCATATTACACCAGGACAACAGGCAAAAAATAAGACACGTGGTCACCCTGTATCTGGGATCAGAGGCACCCTCTGAGCATGCTGCAGAACACTGAGCAGGTATGCACGTCCAAGCACGTCTGAGTTGCCACACTGGGACTGAAATCTGTTAACCTCAGGGCCTGCAGAGGAGCCTTGGCTGGGCTGGGGATATCTTCTAATTCACCCAAGAGTGCCGGGCAGGCTGGCAAAGGAGCTGCACACCCACTGGCTGCCAAAGCCTGAGTCTGCCAATGCCCTGGAACTCAATGATTCCAATGTACTAGAAGCCTATCAGTTCTAGCGCTGTGTTTTACTTACTTTATCTCATTTATTTCTTTTCAAACTCTGTAAAGTGAACATATCACCCTCATCATATGTAACTTGAAAATGAGGTTCAGAGAGGTAAGGTGAATGGCAGAAGTAGCACAGTTGGTCATCTCCACAGGCCACGCTCTGTGCACTGCACCATCCACATCTTTGCCATCAGACACCTCGGACAGAATGACCTCTGCACAGCTGTCACATGAGCTCCACACCCCTCTGCTGCCTGCCTCCCCTACTGGGCTGTGGGCTCCTTCTGGGGCTGGGCTGCTTGGCTCAGCACTGATGAACTCCTGAAGAAACGACTGGCACCTGGTAGGATCTGACCTGGCTAATGGCCACTCTCTCAAGCCAGAACTTGGTACCTAAGGGAACTCTTCAAGATATTGCCAGCATGGGTGGAGCCAGACTGCTCAGAAGCAGTGTTGAAAACACTCCCCAGCAGCAGAATGCTGGAACTCTTCCACTTTACAGACCAGAGCCTCAAACTCCTGCTACTGACTGACTTCTCCAGGCCACTGGGGGGCTGGACCATGGAGCTATCAGTCAACTCATAAACATTTACTAAGTGCTTACCACGGGCTGAGATCCACCGGGGAGGAATAAGATGCTGAGTTTATTCTCCCCTCCAAACCCCAACACTCATATCAACCTCTGTGTTATTTACTGGGCAAAAGCTGTTGGCAAATGGTGATGTGGTTATGATCACACGAATATTGAGTGTTTGACAGGGCACGATTACCACTTTACAGAAGAGAACATTAAGACTCATGGTGAACTGTCCAGGGGCCCTCAGCTGCCCTACTCTGCACCCCACAGGTTAAATGCCTAGCAGTATGCTGGCATGAAGTAACGAAAATAGCATCTACCACTCTCTTCTCATGCATGTCACACGCCAAAGCTCACAAAGCACTCTCACATGATCCATTCATTCCCATCCATGGAGCTAGAGATTACGGGTCACCATGCCCGTTTCAGGGATGAGAAACTGAGGCTGAGAAGTAAAGCAGGTTGCCTAAGGTGCTGGGTCTGATAAAAGGCTTCTCCATCTGTAAAACTGAACTGATAACTGGGGCCACCACCTTCCTTGGCCCACTCCCCCTAGGCTGCCCTGATGGTTAAAAGTAATCCATGCACAGAGCTGGCACAAAGTAGGACTTCATAAGTAACAGCTATTGCTATTACTTTTATAATACACACATCAGCCATGGTCAGGCTGAAAAGCTGTCTGGCAATGGCCTGAGGAAAAAACCCTTCTGGCCCCTTGGGACCTTTGGGCTCACACTTCCAAGGCTGAAACCAAATGAGAGAAGGGGCAGTTAGGGGCTCCACAACTCGTCCCAGGATGCCAGGCCTCAAAGACTGAGCTGAGAGCCGCTGCACCCCAGAATCACCTATTCTGACCTTCTGAAAGGCCCACAACAGAAGTGGGCAGGAGGCCATGGCCCCTGGAGAGACTCCTCTGGGCTGAAAGGCCCAGAGAGTGGGCTGTTGATTCTGGACCGAAGTCGGGCCTTGTTTCTGCATTCCCAGTGGGGCCAGCAGCACAGACCAGCCCTTGTGGGCTCTCCACGGCCAGGCTGGAATAGGCTTTTGATTTCTTCCCACTCCTGCTGGAGGACTTGCGGTTAAGCCGTGTGGAGTGTTTACTTTTTCAACAATGGCAGCAGGCTAAAGAATAAGGAAAACCTAGCCCTTTTTTCTGACTTAGCAGGCCAGGGCCCCCTTAGTAACCAAAACGTGCCAAGCACCAGGCTCCAGGCAGGAGCTGGGTCGGCACAGTTTCCTCTTTCAGAACAATGCTGCCCTCCCGGTGGCAAGGCCTCTTCCAAGGGACTGGCATGGACTCAAGAACCTTCCTGAAGCTCAGTGTTCCCAAGGAAAGAATCAGAGGCCCGCTTGGCCGGATGGTGCCCTAACCCCAAAAGGCTCAAGGAAACAAGGAGACTGAAGAAAGGCATGGAAACTTAAGCTGGGGGTGGAGGAGTGTTGGCGGAGGAAGGAGGTGGGCAGTTCCTGGGTGCCAGCTTGTTTCATCTTAACCATGTCGTGGGGGAGACGGCAGTGTCTCCCTGTAAGGACAAGGAATTGAGGCCCACAGAGGTCACACCAACTACCCAAAGTCACACAGCTGGTGAGTGGCAGAGCTGATTTCTGAACACATCTGACTCCAGAGCTTACCTCTTTCTAAGGATACCCCAAATCCAAGTGCTTAGACTTTAGAACAAGTATCCCCTCAGAGCACGCAGTTACCCTGACACTCTTGGGACCCGTTTCCTTCACACAAACTCGCACTTCCCGTTTGTATAGAAAATGATGTATGCCTACTATAAAACAATAGGCAAGACAGAAAAGTTCAAAGAAGTCAATGACAGTGCTGCGCGGCCTCCCAGGGCCTGCGCCCT